CTAGGAGATGTGCCTCTGACGGGTACACTATTTCGATCAACGTCTGACGGAGCCGGCGCACCTCGATCTGCCATTCTGCCCCAAGGTCTCGATGCAGACCAAGGTCGATTCTCTGAACGGCTAGTGAGCGGTGGACCACCTCTAGGCGGCATGTCGTCTGGCAATAATTCAGGTGCAGGACCTCGTCTCCAGCTAGTCGGTTCCTTTACGCGACCCGGTTCGTCTCTAACATACACTCGCCTCTCCTCGTAAGCAGGCCGTTCCCTGGTAATCAATGGTTCTTCTCTGTTGTACAATCGTCTGTCCTCATAGACGGGTCGTTCTCTTGGCGGAACCTCTTCCCCCCTCGAAAACGGTCGTCTTTCTTCGTAAACGGGACGCTCTCTCACTGGACCTTCGTCCCGCACATACGGTCGCCTGTCTTCAAAACTGGGTCGCTCTCTGAGCGGAAATTCATCTCGGACATATGGTCGTCTTTCTTCAAAACCGGGTCGCTCTCTGGGAGGAAGTTCATCTCGAACGTAAGGTCGTCTTTCTTCGAAACCCGGTCGTTCTCTAGGTGGCAAATCTTCTCTTATATACGGCCTTCGTTCCTCGAAACTCGGTCGTTCTCTGAGTGGGAGCGGTTCTTCCCTCTCGAAAAACGGATTTTGTCTAATTGGGGGCTCTTTCATATCGTTGACGACACTTTCCGCGGCTTCCGGTCTACGCCATGACATCGACGGCGGTCCTCTGCCAAGAGGAGGACCTGTCTCCCTAACATCTAAATTTATATGCAATTATCAGACGACATCTGTTCGATTACAGAACTTACCTGGAGCTTCTCGTGCTCTACTGGAGAAGCTTGATCGCCAATCCGAGGCTTCAATCAACGGGTTTGGCGCATCTATCGAACGAATGCCATAAGGAGCATCCTCATGACCGCCGTCTACCATTCTTCGCGCTGCGTATGGTCGTATTTCCGGTTCGCCTGATAGCGGTTCACGGGTCTTCGCAGCAGCCGCTGGAGGTGCTCTTCGCCAGTTTTGATCATTCAGTTCTAACGTAAGCAAGGTTAATAGTCATAAGTCAACAGCCTCTTGATACTGGTAACTGAAAAGACTTACGAGCAAGCATTGCCTCGGATGGTTCACTTCCTTCGATCTGTCTGCCTAATTTATCCCTGGTGAACGGTGGCACGTACTCGTCCTCCGTCTGTCCGTAGGCATACGGTTTCTTGGCAAATGCGTAATCGCGGCCACGCATGTCTTCTTTTCCACGGTACTCCTCCTCCTTCGCCTTGTTTTCTTCCTCAGCACGTCTCGCCTTCTCTTCCTCTGCCTTTTCCTGTAGCCAAGCCTGGCGTCGCTTTTCCTTCCTCTCCTTTCGACGCTCTTCCAGTCGTTTCTGACGAGTGTTCTTCAACTTCTTCTCCCAGTCTGCAAAACGCTTCTGCATTTCCGCCGACTTGGCTTCTCGGACCATCGCCAAAAACTGCTTGGCATCCTGGTCGATTCGTTTAAGTCGATTGTGATTTTCCAACTGAAAACAAAACAATATGCATACAACATAATTATACATTATGATACGAAACAAAAGTATAGAAATTAACTAAAGCTATATATTCCTTGTCGAAAGATTTTATTCACTTACTAATTAAAAGTGATTTTAAAATTTATTTCGATTCTCTGTCTTCTTCAGTAAGTCCAATGTTTTGGTTGACGGTTGCGAACAGAAAAATCTGGTGTTGGCTGGGAATTTTACTTGTGAACATCTAAGCAAACATCGAATTACGATAAGACCTCTGATCATTGAAGGAATACATGAAGTTTTTGAATCGCACAGCAGAGTTGAAGAAATTAATGAAACAAAACCAGACCAAATTAAACTCTGAAACAAACCGAATGCTGCCAACCTAACCGATTCTATACAGATTATCACTGCAGAAAGAGGTAATCGAAAATGACTATATGAGAGTTGCCGTGTGATTGTTCCGACATGTAAAAAAAGTTGTTGCACGAACCCAATCAACTACGGTGGCAAAAATCTACGTTCTGAAGCTGAACAAGTGATCTTGAATATGACTGTCGAAATTCAAACAACGTTTTGAGACCATACTAAAGAATACTCGTGTGTTTAGATCAGCGATCACCTTACGGTGACCACCTCATTACAAATAATGGAAAAGAAAAGACAACAGGGACCAAATTCTGTAGATTTCGAGGCCGTGTAGAAAATGTATTAAAAAAAAATTATTCCCATTAGAGCCGAGAAAATTCCATCGTATAAAGTTTAGAGCAAGGTATGGAAGAATAGGATCTCCTTTGCTGTTTGCAATGTTTCTTGACTTGGCGCTGCAATCAATATCAAACAGAGGCTACGACTGCAGCAAGAGTGGAAAACGTCTACATAGACTCTCTTGCATATACAGATGCAATTGAACTGCTAGTCGATAACTTCAAGGTGCTACATAACTGTTTTTAACTTTGAAACAAAAAATCCATATCTGGGTGTCTCGATTAACTTTGAACAGACGATGTGGGTGGAATTTGGTAGAATCCAGATTAATGTCCATCTAACTCTTAACACCGAATATTCATTAAAGGTATCACAATATCCATCCTGGGAAAACACCGGCCACAGACGGGAGCGACAAAGTTAAGAGGCTCTGTGCGTTGGTATTAGCAGCGAGACAAGGAAGTTTTGGAGTGACCGACATATCGGCCAAAGCAAAAAACTGCGTATACATAGTGAGCATGAATTTTGAACGTGTTGCTCTATGGTCTGAAGATGGAAGAACCAAACAACGCTAAGAGAAAGCCGAAAGCGACGGAAATTAAACTTCAGATGTCATGGCAAAAACGAGTGTAAGATATTGAACCAGAATGATCGATTGGGTCTAGGAAAAGTTCTTAAGATGGTGGAATCATTGTCATCGATCGATGACTTACGAAGCGAAATGCTGAACGCAAATCCTGATGGCAGGCTGGCGCTAGGAAAATCTGTAACAAAAAGGCAAAATCTCATAACAACTGACGTCAATAAAAAATTGAAAAAGAAACTCGCAGTTATTCGATCCAGATGGACTACCTCTATGGCACTGTCGTTTTCGATGCCACAGGATCAGAGGAAACATTTACTTCAAAGAAAAACTTTTTAAAAAACGATAGGTGTTGTTTAAAAAGCAATGCAGATAGATTAGAGTAGCATGGTCAGTTCAAATCAATGGCGGGTGACAATAATTCAGTTTATAAGCATAAAAAATCTTAACATCAAAACTTGATATATTGATTAAATACAACGGCCAGAAGCAAATTCGTTTAAGTAGATATGATCACCAGTTTAACGTCAAATGTAAACGATGAAAAATAAATATGTTATATAATCAACCATTCATTCAAAAACATAATTTACGACAGCGCTAAACAGAACAGTGGATTACTTCATGCGGAAATTTAGTCCAAAACTCGACAAATCCTTTAGGTGATTTCACAAAAAAGAAAATTTATTATTTACAAGTCCTCCAACGTTTTGGATCATGCTCGATCCGTCTTCAGCGAGCGACATATTAAAGATACTGTGTTACGGTATATATGGGTGTATTTCGGTACTAACTGCAATATAGAGGTTTAAGCCTCGGCAGTAGAAGTTGCTTGATAACCTCGTTTCTGTACCAACTTAGATCTACACTGTCGTCTTTTTTATGCGTTGGTTTGATTGTATTATCAACGCTTCTTTTATCTTTCGGTTTAGAAAGTTTCGTTTTCGGTGTATTCCCTGTGGTCCGTTGCTATGCGTAAAGAATTTGTCGAATATTTACAATATAATTGATTACATACAGTAAGAAAATGTTACCAGCATTTTTCTTTCTTCTTTCGCCTTTTCGATGCGTTCCACTTCGTGTTCTTCCCAGAACTGGCGAACGGATTCGATGCTGTCCTCATACTCTTTCTGGCGAAGAGGAATTTCCTCGAGATGAACGGCCCGAATGAAATGATCCCACTTTTTCTCCAGCTGCTTAAATTTCGCTAGCTGTTCGCGCTTCTCCTGTTCCATATGACTTATCTAAAAGAACGCATAAGCATATGTACCTTGTCCCAACTGCTGATAAGAACGAGAAATAGAGCAGTGGAAACAAGAAAAATGAATCATTACTCAGACATTAAACATTTTCTATTACAATATGTAAATATATTTGTTAATAAATCATTGAATATTTCTGCTTGCCTCCGTCTACAGCTACTACTATCACAGTTAAATAATTGTGTCATAACTGAATCTAACCAAATGCAGAATCAGACTCCGTTACACGCTATTTAAACAAATAAGTTAATTGTATTAATGAACGCCGTGTACACTGTTTAACTTCCAGCATGATAATCAATGTACAATTCCTGCGTGGTATTCAATATTCCTCAACAAACTCATGTCAAATAATTTAGTATCTAATGTCGAACTC